CTTGTTTTTAATAGCTAAGTAGTATTCCAATGTGTAAATGTACCACAATTTCTTTATCCATTCTTCAGTTGAGGGACATCTAGGTTGTTTCCAGATTCTGGTATTATGAATAAAGCCACTATGAACGTGGTTGAGCAAATGTCCTTGTTGTGTGGTGGAGCATCTTTCAGGCATATGCCCAAGAGCAGTATAGCTGGGTCTTGAGGTGGAGCTTCTTGGTGACTTAGAGTTTATTATTAATTTACTCAAGTTAGCCAGAAAAAGCAACATCAATGCTCTGAGACTGTAGAACAATAGGAGTTTTTATACCATGATAAAGGGAGAGCCAACCTAAAAAATATTCATAAAATTTCCTATCAGCATTTGGCATAGCTAAATAGAAACGTAATCTACATCCCAGTAATTTCATTCATGAATATATGTGCAAGAGAAATGTCTGCATATGTTAAGCTAAAAATATATATGAGTCATTCACACCAGCATTACTACTTTTTTTTTCTCAATAATTTTTTTATATTTTTGCCTCAACATGACTTAGTTTATTTACAAAGCAGATTTCACTTAAGTATTGTGTAAAAGGAAAGGACTGTTTCCAATAGTGACCATGACGATTCTACATTGTTTCCATGCTTTGTTTGTTTCTACGTTAACAGGCCTAAGGAGTTAACCAGGATGCGGTAGACGTGCTCTGTAACACCTAATCCGTGATTCTTCCTTGTGATCACGTTCAGCATCACTACTCAGACGCCACGCTAGGAACACATCACATGTCTGCAGCAGCACAATGAACACATAGATTTTGGTTTAGTCACCCAATAGAATACTAAATGGCAGGAAAAGTAAACTGATGCTCTGGGTATCAATGAGAGTAAAATCTAAACATAAATGTGAACTGTTGGAAGTTGGTCTGATGCATGTTACTAGCCCTCAAGATCTGGGTATGCCTATCTGTGTGGTGTAAACCTACCTGATTGTTCATTAAATGGCCTGTACCTGGGCAGGGCAGAATGGGGTAGGCATGACTAGGGTTCCAGGGCTTTTGGGTTCAAAAGAGAATCATGAAAAACAGATGGACTGGAAGAGAGGAGGAAGGAGTACAACATGGTGGGTTAGTGTGGAGAAAAAAACCATGTGAGCTGAGAGGAGGGGCTCCAATAATGGCACGAAAAGGCCCAGATGAAGAATACAAGCAAGTACCTTGGGATTATGGATGGAAGGTAGACCAGATTAGGAGGACTAAAGTGGATGGCATTGGATGGGGGCTGGGGCATTGATGGTGAGGATATTGAGACAGTGTAAGTGAAATATCTGTCTGGCCCAAGGTAAATAAGGCAACTGTAAATCTAACAGGTGTCTGTGTCTCTATTGTTTGTGATAGTGGGTTAAATAACACTGCCATGATAATCTTACAGCTAATAATAACTGATAGCCCAACACTCATCATTATATATTTTCTACAACAGTGAACTATAACATGACTCCATTTCACATAAAGCCCAAAATAAAGAAAAATTAAGGAGACAAAGATGTAAATACTGACTGCCACTATAATGGGGGGTTAAATACTGGGAAAAGACACAAAGAGCCTCACTTATGTCCTGTATCCTGAAGGCATGAGTTGAAGGAATGCATTCATTTTGTAAAGTCCATAGGCTGTACTGTTAGGGCATGAGAGTGCTTGATCAGACACTACAGCCAGCTGTATGCCTCCTTCCTCCTCTTAACCATGGGCACACTGCAGAATTTCTGGGTAGTGCTTTCACAGACTCAATATAAAGGGTGTTTCATGAAGAAGTTTTGCAAAATGGTGGCCTTGAATATAGTGCATTTGGTTGTTATATACAAATCACATCCTCAGGCTCTTTCGTAGCTCCTTTATGGCTAAGGTGTCTAAGAGAAAGAAGCTTGGATATAAATTCCCCTGGCTCTTTCCGCTTTCTCTATAGATTAGAGGGGCTGTTAGACAGAGCTCTGTTGGACGCGGAGATAGACTTCAGATGTTGAGGGTAGCAGAGACATTCTACTAAATCTGTTTACTTTTATAGGAGAAAGAAATAAGAGTCCAGCTTGGTTTGGGCATGGAATTATAGTTCTTTGTTATATCCCCCGATTTGGCACTCTTTCCAGTACAGGCATTTAAAATGGAATGATCAGCCAAGGCAGTCAATAGGCTGAAAAATAGACATTTTTAGCGCTTGGCGTGTCTTAATGACTTTGTTGTCAGTTCCCACCATATATCTCAGGGAGGACCTCCCTCAGAAAACAGCACAGGGCATTTATTTGGTGCTTGACTTTGTCAGTTTGACCGGATTGAGGGGCACTTAAGGTATTATTAAAGCACTCTCTGATGATGTCCATGAGGGCATTACTAGAGCCAGTTAAATTAATGGATCAACCCTCTGATGGTTCACAGTCTGAATAGAGTCTTGGGAAGGGGTGGAGTGGTGTATGAGGTTGAGAAAGGTGTGGAACGTTGTTTGTGTGTGTTGGGGTGCTGGCTTGGAGGTATGTCTTTGAGGATTTATCTTACATTAGTCTTTTTCTGTTACTACTCTGTGGGGCATGTGGACCATGCCACCAGGAGAACTAGCATGGAACTGGCATGGAACTGGGAAGGTGGAGCATGTTGAAACCTCAGAAATCTCAAACTTGAGATCAGCAGGAGTAAGAACCACTCTTTCCCTGTTCTGAGCCTGCATGGCCTGGCACATGTAACCTGGTGAACCCCAACTCTCCAGGTAGTCACGTATCTGACCCCTAATGTAACTAGAGTACCATCAGCATGCCAGCCACAACCAACCCCAAACCCCCTCCCTACACCCCAAGGTTTATAAAGTACTTGTTCACCATGGAATAACAGGACAGAAGCTGCTTCACTAATAAATGGGTACAAGCTAATTTTCAGAAGATTGTCTAACAGCTGTTGATTCACTTGAGCTGTAACACTTGAAGGGCTGATTGGGAGACAGCTTTTTTTTTTTTTTTTTTTTTTTTTTTTTTCTAAATCTTGGACATTAACCTCTGGATCCTCGGACCTGCCTACCTGATGGCCTTGCTGGTGGGACCCGAGCCCTTGCTGCAGCAGTCAGGCACCCCCGACACACTGGCCACCCGACTGCTCCACTGTGACAAAGGGCTTTTAGCGACTGAAAGTTGTAACTCCTCCTCCCCACCCCAGCTGGACTGGAATCCTGCAGACCCCACCCATTTCAGATTCTGCTTCATTCTTCCTGGCTGGACTCTGTTCTCGCAGAGCCCAGACACCCCAGTGGGGACAGAGTAGACCAACATACTGCCCTATCCTGCTTCCTGTCTACCACATCATGAAGGCTCTGCCATATCCTCCTTTCCACAATGGTGGAAACCTCTGTACCTGTGAGCCAAATAAGCCTCTCCTCCCTTAACTTGTTTCCACCAGGTATTTGGCCACAGCAATGATAAAACTAATGCAAGGGGGAAGACTATTTTCCCATAAGTAGCCTGCCTCAAACTCTAATTCTGTTCGTGATTCGAGATTCAGTCCCCTCTTTTGCAAAATGGAAAGATATCTGAATGATCTTGGATATCTCTCCCATCAGTAACATTCTTAGAATTTTTTAAAATGTTATTGGGATAAGAGGAAAGATAGGGTCCCTTTACATAAGGACACATTGGTACCTGATATTGTGAAAAAGAGCTCAGCATACACACACTACTGAGTGAGTCTTTGGTCTAAGTGGTGCCCAGAAGGAATCTGAGACTAAGTAGCTTTGTGTGGCTATGAGCTCAGCTCCACAGAGAAACATGTAGCAAAGGACAGTGTAGAGAAGGCCAGGAGAGAAGCCCAATTATGTTGAATCAGAAAAAATGGTGACCCCTGACCACAAGGGCAAGGCTACACTTTCAAATGTTTAATTGCCTTTTAAGGTTCTCTACAAAGTATGGGATGGGGTGAGGAAGGCAGACCTTTTAGGGTATTGCTATCAACCTTTCCAGGTTGCTGCCTCTGTGAGTAACTCAGCTTAGACTAAAGATTCAGTCGCTGTCTCTGTTTGCTGGTGTGTGTGGTGACAGGCACACAGACTTGTATTCTGGTTATGTGAGGTCTCTCATATGATTCCAGCTGCTTGAGGCTGCTCCTGGAAAGGCTTGGATTTTTTGGTGGCCTCCTGATATGCAACTTGAGGGATGCACTTTCAAATATAAGAACAATGCTTTTGTGTTTGTGTCAACTGCCAGTGGAAATCACAGTAAATTTTATATTTTCTAGCTGCTCCTTACACAGTGTGGCAGGGACCCTGTGAATGACAATGTTTGGGGTGGTTTCTAAAAACTTGCAGGGGTCTATGCTGACAGAAGGAATGAGCTATAGCCCCAGCATCGCAGAGCATCTCCAGGGAACAGAGTTCACACCATTCTGACTAAATCTATACATGTAAATCCACTGGCCTTTATTTTTCTATAAAGTATAACTCGCATAGAAAAAGGCATAGAAAAACTAAGTATATGTATTTCACGGGCTCTGCCCCAAACTGTAACTAAATCTCCCTTTCTTCATTATTTTTGAAAGTATGGTGGCTGGTTATGGATCTTAGACCCCTAGTACCACTCTCCTTAGTTATTCAAAATATCAATAAGCAACACATATGAACTACAAAAATATGGTGCTTTGCAACAGAAGAGAATAAACTATAGTATATCAAATATATAGGTGGAAATCTCTGCAATAATCTAGAATATATCAAGCATATCTCTATATAGTATATCAAGTATATCTCTATTAGGCGAGTGGAGCCTAAAGAGATTCAGACCAAAGATGAGGGTTAGATAACAACAAATAGGTATGCTTTCAATTTTGAATGAAAAAAAAATAGATTTTTCAAAATTGCTAAGTTTGTGTTTATTTGAAAAAAAACAAACAAACCACATTTGTGAGATTTCCTGAGATTATGGTTTGGTCAGTACACAGGTGGCAAAAACTTCTTTTGTTACATAGTTTAATGAAATGCAGGCCATCTTACCTGAGGGTTTTTAAACACAGCATATTTTTCCTCTTTCTCTAAAAACAGTACTTTGTTTTCTGTGTCTCTCGTCCAGTGTGATAAAACTTCAACAACATTTTCATGGTCTTCAAAAATTCTCTCTGATGAAATAAAAGATATTTCAGGTAAGAGTCTATTACTGAGTTATGCACAGTGGCTCACAAAGTTTCTGAAGACTGGCAGCCTTTTAACCAGGTTTGAATTTATTCAGCCAAAGGCTCCTGCGCTACAAAAAGGGTGGGTACCTGAAGTTGGGAAGGTAGGTACTATGTTAATGATACATAAACGGTCACTGGGGCCCCTGCTCATCTCCTTTTCTCCCCTCCTGCACGGTACAGCTCAGGCCCACTGTGTATCTTGTCCCGGATTTATTTCCTTTCCTGAACCAGCCATTTGTCTTTCTCTGTGCAGTCGACTGTAAAGAGGCGGGAGAACTGGGGAGCTCCAGCGCCTGCTCTGTGAACTAATATCCCCGCCTGTGACAATAGTGCACAATAGTACTACTTTTATATGTCAGTGTCAAGTTTAAAATTTATTTTGACATGACAAATGATGGAAATTACAGTATTTTGGGCAATTGAATCATGTTTTTAAAAGTTAGCATTTTGTTTTTCATTTTAGATCATTTTTAGCAGAAGTAAATACCGTGGCATAAGATCCTGTGTACTTAAGCTTTGGAACGAAACTGTGAAACTGGTAACCTATTTCTCTGAAGCACCCAGCTTGAAGGCAAAGAAAGCTTTTCCTTCCCTTGTTTCCCCGGAAAGAAACAAAGAAGCAAGCACTTAACTCAGATGAGGGCAGTAACACTATAAAACAAAGGTTAAACAGACTAAAGCCCATAATAAAACAAATCTGCCAGGCTTTCAAAGTACAGCCCAGATATGAGGAGGAGACTTACCAATTTGCAATTCGGGGTATATTTCATAAAGACACCAGTCCACATTGCAGTCACAGTGGGTTTTTTCAAAAAGATTGTCTAGAACATCTCGAGCCAACTGTCGCTCATCCACCATCAGTGACTTGGTGCTGTTATCATCCATGTACACCTTAACCACAAGCTGAAGATGAAGCCACCAAACAGTCAGTTCTAGCAACGGGGGCAGGCTGCTCAGCTTAAGGTGTCAACATTGCTATTGTTTCTGACACTGTACATTAGAAATGCACCTTGTGGATATCTTGATAGGCTGTTGTTACTGTAGCTCCTAGGGTTCACGGTTGGGTAACGCTGTTGATGACTTTCCTCCAGCAGTGGTGGCATGATTGCAATGGGGATAACCAACCACTTTCTGATTTGATTTACAGCCTGCTCCACAGGACAGAGCCCATGCTGGTACTGGGAATTGCGCCCAGAACCCAAGGTAAAGGGGATCATGGGCCCATAGGAGAACCTACATTTATTATTTTGCCAAATGGATTTAGCATCAAATTGCCTTCTAAATACTTATCTTTTTATCCATAGATTAATGCAGCTCTTGACTCTCATCAGAGGTTATGACTCAGTTGGTCAAAGTGATTGAATAAGTGACTCTGGAGTGCTTAAGCACTAAATGGGACATCTACACCACAGCACTCCCTGCAAGGCTCAGGGAAGAGAAGGTGGAAAGACTGTGAGAGCCGAATGTTGATGCTGTCTACTGTAAAGAGGTGTCTTCTGGACATGACAGGATTGCTGTACTCATGAACTCCTAGCAGCTGCAGTTGCATGCAAAAACACATGTTCAGAATCAGGACCAGCATTCCAGCAAAATTCCAGCATTGGAGAGGAATTGATAAAGCCCTACCCTTACCCAAGAAGCTATTCTCAGTTGATGGTACTTGGGGAGAGGAAGAGTTGTTTTCTTCAGGGACATGAGCTATGGTAGATTGCCCATTTTCTAATGGATGGACACATACTGACAGCACTGACTAAATTCAGTGAATTGAAAAAAAAAGGATATGAACTTGACATGGACCAGGGAAGGGGTTTTTGGAAGAGTTGGTGATGGAATTGTGGTGGGGGAATACAACCCAAATACATTGTATACATGTCTGAAATTCTCAGAGATCAAATAAAAGTATACTTAAAAAGTGGAATGCATCCTTTGACCTCATTATATATCAGAAACACAGAGATAGAGAAATAAATTCACAAAACACAAAAAAGACAATAAACAAAGCCCTTGGCCCAATTTCAAGCCACTGCATTCTGGTGGGGAGACAGAAAGTAAACAGAAATGAAGAAGTACCCACTTCTCACTTTTCCAACATTTTTCTGCTTTTTTGTTCCCATTTTGTTTTTAGGGCTAGAAGCATTTCTTGATTAAAAGATCTCCCTGTATCTTTGTGATAGAAGTCCCATTGTTACAGGAAATTTTAGGGTAAATATCCTAGGCATAGCAGCCTCCAGTAAGGTAGGCTTTGCCACTGTTCCAGTGTGCCAATTAAAGAGACTAGTTAAAGTGAAGAACAGAGAGGGGACATTTATTAAATAAGGCTACACTGGCAGTCATTGTTTAGTGTGTTGGCAAGGGGTTTAAGATTTAAATAGAGGGCAAGAGATTTTTCATAATTAAACAGTCCTGGTTATGGTGTGGCCTTGCGCATCATTGACTTGCTTTGTCTTGACTTCTGTCTGACCTACAAGGTGGTCTCATAAAGTGTCATAATTGTGTGAAATTCCTTCCTGAGGAAAATTCTTCCTTTGGTTGTGTCCATTTACTGTCAACTTGAGATAGCCTAAAAATACATGAAAAAAAAATCTTAATACAGCAATTGTCTTCATCAGGTTGATTTGTGTACATATCTGTAAGAGATTGTCTTGATCGTTAATTGATGCAGGTTGGCCTAGTCTATGGTGGGTGACATCATTCCTTGGGGAGGTGGTCCTGGACTATTTAAAAAATGCTAGCTAAGCATGAATACACCTGTGAACTAGCAAATGAGCAGGCTAGCAAGCAGCATTCCCTCCAGAGATCCTGCCTCCAGGTTCCTGTCTTGAATTCCAACCTGGCTTCTCTTTATGATGTTCCCTGATCTGAAGGTGCAAGTCAAATAAAACTTTTCCTTACCAATTTTCCCTCCCAAGTCGCTTTTGGTCAGAGATTTTTAAATCACATCAACGGAAGGAAACTAGAAGAGTCTGGTGATGCAGAGCTTAAGCCTTTCTTCTGCATGAGGTAACTGTTGAAACTTTAATTCTTTGAAGTTCATTATTTCAATAGTCTGGTGGCACAGGAAGAGGACAAGTGTCCTTTTAGAGTTGCCTCCTCACCTGTCATGATGAGTATAGCCTCTTTAGCTTAACTAGAGTTGGGTCATTTTTGTATTTTTCTATGGAAGACATACATGTTGTTCTTTGTGGAGAATTACTGCAGTAGAATAGCTACATGTACTAGGAAACAGCACTGCTGTCAGGGCTTTAAAAGCAATATTTGTGATAAGGAAAAGTAATGACATTTGACCACATTTCATTTTTGCTTAGAGATGCTTTAGAAATGAAATCGTATGCTGCTTTTTCTTTTCATTTTTTTATAGAAATGGTGACACTGCTAAATCACATAGTTTCATAATGATGGAAGAGGCTTCTTTTTGGCAGAAGTGGCAAACTAAATTTAATCCATATGTATTTATGAATATCCGAGTTGTAGAGTTTAAAAAAAACAAGTGAATGAATAAGAAGAAATCATATTTATGATTCTTCAACAGTTTCTACTATATTTGCAAGCTGCAGAGGGGTTCTATACCGACACGGAACAGCATCGCATCCAGTGATGTTACATAATTCATCACATTATCTTCTGGGGGGCAAAATGAATTGGTAATGAGACCTTTTCATTTGCAAGTTGTTAAATGAAAAATATTTTAGTTCTAAATCATGAAAATTCCTTTTTTGGCTTCTATAATGAGATTACAAATGGAATTGCTCTTCTGCCACAGAGCTTTAGAATAAATTAAATCCGATTGTGTTTCTAGCTTTAAAAGCTTGGTAGTATAAGCTATGTACAACATTTGTAATTCAAAAGAATGTCAACATCCCAGCACATTCTTAAAAGCAAATACTGCTGATGGGGAAAAAACTAAACCCTTGTGCTTTTATGAGACAGGACCTCTTGGTGTAACTCAGGCTCCCCTTGAACTTATGCTCTTTTACCTCAGCCTTCTTGCACTAACTCACTTTCAACCTCTAACACATGTGTGAGATCCTCACAGTTATTTTTCCTAAACATGGAGCATTTCTATTATTTTCTTAATGTGCTGTGTCCCATACAGAGTCTGATTTTTAAAAAAATTTCGTCTGAGAGTCAGGAAACTTTCTTCCTTCCCCACTGACGAGTGCTTTGCTCTGCATCTTCCTTGAATCCAGGCAGATTATACCTTGTGTTTCCTGTCCTAAGTCATTGTGACTAACGGAAAAAAGCTACCTGTTTCTGGTAGGTGGCAGGGAGGCCTGCAAGACCCCTGTCTCCACAGGCCAGCTGGAGCGAACACACTTGCTCCTTATCCCACCTTCTCCTGTAAGAGACATTCCTCTTTTCATTTCTCTTCCAAAAATACACAATATGGCCTTCATTTATAAGTGGTTCAGTGGTTTGAAAGTGTGTAATTATGATTTTTAAAAAAACATATTCATCTTCCTTCCATTCCTTTGTCCCTCTCTTGAAGTGATGAGGATCAAGCCTAGGGCTTTGCACATGCTGGGCAAATGTTTACCACTGAGCTACAAACCAAGTCCTTGGGATTTAATGGGACAGGGTTTCTCTCGCGGTATGTTCAGGCTTCTCTTGAACCTGTAATCCTCCTGCTGCAGCCTCCCTGCTCTTACTCTCTTTTATTTGCAGCCATGGGCAAAGCCAACCACTCCACATGGCCTGTCTGCACCCACCACTTATTTGTAGCTCAATGAATGCTCGTCTATGCTAGATGAGATTAGAACAAGCCAGCCTGCTGCCATTCTCTGCTGCTATAATTTATTTTCCTTAAGAGCCTCTTTGGTGGTTCTATCATGGTAGGGTAGCCTCTTTTATACTCGTGACAGAAGAACTGTTCTTGTTTATGGGAACATCGTCCTCTCTGAACCAGCACACAGCTCCCATATGTAGGGGGAACACACATGGGATACTGAAGAAGGAAGAGGACACCCACTTAGTTGGCCACATCAGCCACATTAACCACAGTCATAGTCACAGTCAGATCACCTATGCTGCTATGTCACCCACACAGTTCTACAATTTATTTTCCATGTGTCATATTCCAAAATGGAGCTCTCAAAGGCTTCCTATTGTACTTAAGATACAGTTCAAACTTCCCCCGATACCTGTGGGCTCTCGGGGCTCCCACCTGTTACTTTAATGTCAAGTTCTTCCTTTGCTTTTACTCAGTAGGTCACTGAACTCTGATCAACAGTCTTTTATTTTGTTCTATTTCCTCAACCTAGGTTTTACTTGAGCATAAGATGCTCATTGCTTCATCAATGCTCATCTATGTTTGGGGAGCCCTTTACTACTGCCCCACGTCCCTAGCTGTTTCTTGCTGCTGAGGCCTTTTCTCAGAAGCTACCTTCTAGGGAGGCTTTGTCATCACAGTGCACAAAGCTTGGGCACTATCACTTCTTATGCTTTCCACTTTTCTCTTTTCTAGTTCACCCTTTCGTTTCTTAAAAAAGTGTGAATAATGATAATAATAATAGATCTTGTTGTGCAGTCTTAGGTGGGTCTGGACTTACTGTTGTAGTCCAGGCTAGCCTTGACTTTGTAATCATCCTGCCTCTGGACCCTGAGCTCTGGAATCAGAGATATGGGACACCATGCAGAGCCTGGCTTATTTATTTGTTTGTTTGTTTGTTTGTTTACTGCACTCGTCTCCCTTGCTGGAATTTAGCTCAACACAAGTAATGATCTCACTGGACTTGTTTAACATTGCACACACCTGGTAACTGCTCTAAAGCATGGGGGTGCACCGTTAAGGAAGCTTCTACAGAGGTTCAAAGGGAATACAGGCAATAAATTAGTGGGTAGTACACATGGTGGTGATCAAAACACTGAAGAGAATACGAAGTAGTGTGGACAATCTCACTTGGAAGGGGACTGAATACGTACGGGAGGGACAGAAACAGTCCTGATTGTCTTACATTCCTTCCTTTCTATGACAGGCTGCAACCTCAAACTGAAAGCCAAAATCAATCCCAGTCTTCTCTAAGACTGCTATTGTTGGACATTCATCACAGCATTGAGAAAAGTAACTAATCCAGTTTGCTTTCTTAGGTGCTTGTCTCATTAAGGAAAAGTTGACATATATATGCAGAAAATAAGACAGTAACAAAACGAGAAGTTGAATTCTATCTGCAAAAACAGCATCATATATGAGCCTTGAAAGTCTGGATATGGGGATGGTCAGGGGATAGTTATTGAATTATTCACTACGTAAATAACTCCTTCATTCAAGTATTGATGGGACAAGGAACATTCACCAGAGTGAGAGATGACAGATGCTTTAACTGAAATAAGATGCAGACTGAATACTCTTCCCATTAACTAAACTAATTAACTAACATTTTAAAAGTAAGTATAGTCTTCTAATCATGTTAGATGCAAGTTTTTATACTATAATACATTACATATGTTCCAAACAACAACAACAACAAAAAACCCTCTATGCTCTACAAAAATGTTCAAAACAATCACAGGCTAACTCTAACTGGTGAAGTAGGGTTAGGAGCAGATTGTTCAAAGTTTACACAAATTAGAGACTAGATTAACAACAAAACCAATGTTTGATCCATGGGTAGACAACCAGGAAGCTATAAGGTCTAGAGGCTACCCATGGAGAATGAAATTCACAGAAGAAATTGTGTAAATGTGAGGCCAGTGGACACAGAGGTCTGACCCAATTAAAGCATACCCAGAGGGTGTACCACCTGCCATAAGCACACAGCTATGGCACCATCAGAAGGCAGTCCAGGATGGACACATTTTTAATTTTCAAAATGGATGTGCGAAGGCCCTGGCCTAGGTGGTAGCAAAACCAAAGACCCCTTTCTTTCTTGCTAAATGGAATTTATACTCCCACTATCCTGGTTCACAGGAAAATCTATGTGAAAACCAACAAAAAGTCATGTATGGGCTAAGAAAATGCCTTCCCTGTTAGGCACTTTTGTTCTGTCTCACCATGGGGAGCGTTTTGTTACACCATGCACAGAAAGCCCTTACAAGAAATGCATGGAGGCAGCTTTTTTTTTTTTAAACCTAGAAATCACAAATTAGCTAAATGAGGTTATACAGAGAAAAATGGTGTCATTTTGCTTTTTTCAGAGAATTCTTTAAAATGATCATTATTTGGAAAGTGCCACTTGAGATTTCCTTCAATGACACTGTTAAAGCAGTGGCCCTGTGCATGCTCACCAGGTGACCTACTGACCTCTATTCTCAGTAACTATAACATGACATCACTAATTTAACTCTCCCTATGCAAATGTGATTGATAGTTTACCTTCTTAACCTTGGCTTCCTTCAGCTTTTCCAGTGCTAACTTAATCTTATCAGCCTTTGCTTGAGCTTCTTCTTCTTCCTGTAAAGGGGCAAGACATTCAAAAGAGTCTAGTACATCATACCAGAGAGTAATTCCTTATTGATTCTGAGGTCCAGTTCATTTATAGTAACAAAATTAACAAATTTCACATCCTCCATTTTCAGAATTTAAATACATGCCTATGACTAAAATGTTCCACTCAAAGATACAGAAAGCAACTATTGTTTATAGGCTTGAGAATTTCATCCTAAAAGATGAAATTATGACCTCGACTACTGTATCATATACTTAGAGCATGCTACTCTGTGCTCAGCTCACGACATGGGGTGCTGTGGCAGTTTGAATGAACAATATGCCTCATAAACTCATGTGCCTGAACACTGGGTCCCCAACTGGTGGTGCTGTTTGGGGAAGTACTAGAGCTTTTAGGATGTGGAGGACATGCATCAGTGGGAGTGGGCTCTGAGAGTCTGTGGTCTTATCCCACTTCTGGTTTGCTTTCTGCTTCTATCCTGTGACCACTGATCAGTGTGCTTCCTGCTCTGACTCCACTGACATGATGGACTTTTTCTATAGAACTGTAAGCTAAAATAGATTTTCATAGGTTGCTTTGCTTGTAGTATTTTATCACAGCAACAGAAAAGTAACTAATACTGACACTAACCTACAGAAACTATTAATGCACTATCCTAAGGGAGCTGATCATGTCAAACAATCATATGTATCCTCTTGGAGTATGGTATCTATTTAGAGGAAGATTTTTAGTTTTTCTTAGAAGCTTTAAAAGGTCCTTAACAGCCTATGTTTTAATACTAAAGCCAAAACTTAACATTATTAATCACAAAACCACCAAAGCAAAACAAAGTAAACAAAACAAAATAAATGAAAAACTCTACTAATGAACACACATGAACAGAAGAGTGTGAGATATTCTTATGAGCCAAAACTCCTTTGATTTTATAAGTTAAAATCCAGAGAGTAGGAATATTAAGGCTGTCTCATTTGTTCATTTGTCTATCTATCTATCTATCTATCTATCTATCTATCTATCTATCTATCTATC